CGTGTTTGAAGCGAAACCATGGAAGTGACCCCTACTGATATGGTCCCCTTTAAGTAGATAGAATATAGCTTTGGGTATATTATAATAAGATCCCCATATACCCCATATTCTATCTACTTAAGCGGGACCCTAAACCCTAAACCCCTAAACCCCTAAATCCCTAAACCCTAAACCCTAAACCCCTAAACCCTAAACCCCTAAACTTAAGGGGGCCTAGAAATTCTACCCCACACCCAGGAGCCTGCCTCCGAAAAGGCGAAGTCCCCCTCGCCCACGGCAAGCGTCCGGCATTTCCGGGGAAGGAGCCTCAGCTCCGGGGTTTAGGGTTTAGGGCTTAGGGCTTAGGGTTTAGGGTTTAGGGTTTTAGGGTTTAGGGTTTTAGGGCTTAGGGTTTAGGGTTGAGGGTTTAGGGTTTAGGGCTATGCCTTAGGTACTGCCCCCCCTCAGTAACAGTTGGATAATAATTATAATATGGTTATATATAGCCCTTAATAGGACCCCTAATATAGACTGTTACTGGGGGGGTGGGGGCAGTACCCAAGCTATGCCCTAAACCCTATACCTTAAAACCTAAACCCTAAACTCTGGGGGTTAGGGGTTTAGGGCTTCAACCCTCAGACCTGTCCGAGGTTGAGGGATACATAGGGTACATTGGGTTCAAATCAAAGATATGTAGGGGTATCTAGGATTTTACTAGGGGTATGTGGGGGACATATATATATATATCCATATATATATATATACATGTACGGCTTAGAGTTTTAGGGCATGAAGAAATGAAAAGGAAACGAGTAAGACCTCACATGAATAGCATTAGAATGCTGGCTTCAGGGCTTAAAGCTAGGGTTTGGGCTAGGATTCCGGGCCCCCCCCTTAAACCTAAAGGTTTAGGGCTTGGCTCTTGGGACTTGGGTTGACAGTTTACAATGTAGATTTGAAGATTTAGGGCTTCAAGTATGCAGCTGGATCCTCCTAGCCCCTTCCCCCCTAAGGTTTAGGGTTTAGGGTTGCCCACCATGCACTCACGATACGTATTCCTATGAGACACCAAATCTGGTCAGGGGATTGTAGGTATCCAAAAAAACATGCGACTTTGAAGGCATCCTAACTTTCGGGCTTGCAGTGGCAAGAATCCCGTCACTACCCTATAGAAACCATGTATGACCCCAACTTCCATGTCATCTTCCATGTTCCTTTCCATTTGATTCTCCACCATCCTATCCCCAAGCCTTAAACCCTAAACCTGTTTGGGAGAAGCGACTACCTTGCCTCAGCTCCACGCTGAAGCTTCTCAATGCCAGGGGCTGCATTAGCTCCTGGTAGTGCAGTTTAGGGTTTAGGGCTGTGGGAGTTAGAGTTGGGCAGTTTAGGGTTTAGGGAGTTTAGTGCCCAGGCACGCCAAGCATCTGTCGTCATGCCAGATGGCTTCCAATTGCTGTAGACCGTGGGTTGCAAAGAAGGGCTATAGAGCCACACGGTTTAGGGTTTAGGGTTTAGGGATTTCTGGCAGTCAACGTCTAAAGCAGGCAGAACACTAATAACACTCAGGAATCACAAAAAATGAAAGTAAAAGTACTATCCAACTGTTATCGAGCGGGTGCAGTGTGCAACTGTAGCAAGCCAAAACACTGAGCCCCAAATCCGAAATCAGAGACTTGGGATCAACTAGCCACTGGTTGCAAGGACTTGTTGCAAGGATACGGCTTCTGATGCAACCCAGTGCTCCTGAACCCTAAGACCCTGCGTGAAAAATCAGTTGAGATTGCAAGCATAGCATTTCAGAAGGGGGAAGGGGTTGATGCCAGCATTTGCAATCACGCAAGGGTCTCCATTAAGCATGGTGGACACAGTACGGAAGACTATTAGAAATCATAAGAGACTCTCGGATGTCGCCTGGTTATCACTTGGATTTTGCCCTGGCCAGCTTCCATATGAACACTCCCCATATGAGCCATAGTCAGTAAAGTCCTAGCATCCCCCTTGATAACCCCTAGAGTACTCCCCTATATAATCCCCTATATAACCACCCTTTCAGGACTTTTAGCTACAGCATATATGCGATTCTTTTCCCTACCTAACACCCTAAACCCTAAATCCATGGGTTTCCCTCGGTAGCTAAGCCCTACTACCTCCCCAAAATCCTGATCCAACCATAAACCCTAAACTCTATAAGGGTTTAGGGTTTGGGTCCTCACCCCACCCATTAACAGTGTATAATAGGATCACATTTAAGACTCTATATAACCATATTATAAATATTATGCAGCTTTTAATGAGTGGGAGCAGTGCCCACCCTAACCCTAAATCCTGATCCAAAAACCCTCCCAAAGTGACCAGATGAAGTGGGCCAACCAAGTTGCAGGAGCTTTACACCAGGGCGAAATCCTACTCCTTAGGCTTTCAGGGTTTAGGATTTATAGTCCCCCTTGAGTAGATAGAATATGGGTTATATGGGGATCCCGTTATAATATACCCAAAGCCATATTCTATCTACTTAAGGGGGACTATAGGGTTTAGGCAAAAAAATCCATCTCCTGGAGTCTCGTCTTAACTATCAGAGGTACGTCACCAGAAGCTCCGAGAACCCTCCTGAATCAAGAAGGATTTAGGGTTTAGGGTTTAGGATTTAGGGTTTAGGGTTTAGGGTTTAGGGTTTAGGGTTTAGGGAGGCATGGTTCTTGGATACCTTGTCGAATACAGCAGCCAGCACTTCAAGGCACCAAAATGTACACTAATTCTGCCAAGGCCTGAATGCCAGTTGAATTTTTTTGAGGCATCTTACACAACAATTAGGTGTGTCTATGTATGTAGATATACAAGTCACGTTGAGCCAGAACATTGAAAATTTGGCCATAAACCAACCAAATGACCCGAAACCCTAATCCCGAAACTGTAAGGCTCGAAACCGCTTGGTCTTTTCTAGCGGGGAGCGCGAAAGAGACTCGAAAATGAGCTTTCACCCAGACCTTCAAAAAAAGGATGCGAAATCATGGATCCGAATCCTGCACAGAACCCTGCAGCTCAGAACCTTTGAATTACTGTCTAGGGTTCCGTGCTTGCAGATTTGGAGATATAGCCTTATGAGTAGTGCCATGTTTATTGTGACAACATGTCTGTTCTGAAGTTGAGTGAGAGTTACGATTGTAAATACATTCTTGCAGTTTGGAATGATGATTGGCTGAAATTCTTGCGGACTCCATGTTTCGGATCCCTTGAAACGTCATGGGTGAGTAGCTCCTGCTGGGAAGAGATCATTAGATTCTAGGCCCGATGTCAACCCTGGCCCAGGAGATCTTATAATCTACAGCCGGGTTAGGGTCTAGGGTTTAGGGAACAAACAAACATCCTCTCTACCGTTGCCAGTAGACTGCTATACTTCCTACTCTTGCTTCAACCACTGCCTACCGTTGCCGTAAATCCTGCTCCTTGGCCTCCTCCTCCTGCTGAGCATGACTCCACTGCAACAATGAGAATGACGATGATGACTACTTACCAGCACTAGTGCTGATCTGGGTTGCTGTTAAGGAAACATACTTCAAGCTAGCAGATTATGGGTATATAATCAATAACGAGGGTTCTGTATTGTAGGACTTACTTTAAGTTCCTTAAAAGCAACTTGGTGATGGTGTTGGGAGTTCAGATCAGGACCACAAGGTTTCCAGGAACCACATCTGGGAGGCTGGCTTTGCAGCTGCAAGCTACAAGCGCTGGCTGCGATCGATGACATCCCTTGCCAAAGAATTCAAACCCTTTGCGGGTTGCGTATATGCACCTGACTGCGGCTGGTGTGCTGTAGGGATGTCACCTGTCCATCTACCACCCCGACCGGACTTCTGACAACAGGAAAAGCACGCGAGACTCTGCGCTTCGAGCACTCAGCACAGAGCGTGAAAATCGTGCCGCACATCCACTTACCACAGGGATCTGACCAATTTGTAGAGAGTCTGGTAGGAAGCTCGAAGAATTTTCATACTAATCGCTCAGACTCCCAGCTACGTGGGTGGAAAACATAGGGACGCAACCCTGTTGCACATGCTGGCTTTGTGCGAATTCTCCTCACCCAAAAAACCAACCTCCTCATGCGCTGTCAGGTCCCAAAGGTGGATAGAACCCTTGCCCGAGCCAGTGGCCAGGGTCTGGCCATGTCCTGCAAATGCAGAAAAGGGAACCGAAAGTCACGTCATGTGATCCTATACATAGGAATAAAGTCCATCTAGGCCTCAGTTGGAGAAGAGGTAATGAACGGTGGGTGTATATAATGTAGGATCCAATGTTCACAACTTTCAGTCCCAACGGTGAGTACTAGTCAGATCCGACAGACTCCTACGCCCTAGAGCTGGAGGGACTTAGTAAGTAGGTTACCAATAGGGATGACTGGGGCTACTATGATATGCCTTATACACTTAGAGAGGTTATGTATGTATACTTAGCAAGCCAGGCTGAGCCCCTGAGCAAGGTCATCATGGGAACTGTCATTACTTCAAGGCACGTCCTGCAAAGGCAAGGGAGAGCACTTCAGTGTCGTGCCTGTAGGAAGCGATGCGGCCCTGTGAGGTATCCGCAGTCCATATGTGGGAGGTAAAGTCGTCTGAAGCTGACGCTATGAGCTTCCCATCCGGAGAAAACGCAACAGAATTCACAAGATCTGTGTGACCGCTGTAGCACCGCAGGCAGGCCCCAGTTCGAGTATCCCACACTTTGGCCTTCTTGTCAACAGCACCCGTAGCCAGCTGGAATCCATCCGGGGAGAAGGCCACTGAATAGACCCTGCCGGAATGCCCATCTCCGCGCCGGCCATCCCAGTGCTGGGTCATCTGGCCGGAGGCACGGTCCTGGTCACAGAAATCAAGAGGGAACACAAATCTTATGTAGGACCACAAGGGCAGCCCAGGTACTAGTACTGGTACTCGCGCCGAGAGTACTAATACAAGAAGTACCCGCACTGATAACAATTCTGATAGTAGGGGGCAGCTGCCGCTGCAGCGGTGGTCGTGTTCGTGGTCGTGGTGGTATGTGTGCGGTGGCAGCCACGATGGCGGCGGCAGAAGCGGCGGCGCTGGTCGTAGTGGTGGAGGAGTAAGACTTGGATTTGGAGTAAGAATACTAGTGAAACCAGGGTCAATGAGAAAGCACCAACGCTTTTGTGAACGGTAAGGTCCCCAGAAAATCCCAAACAGGTAATCCCAGTTTCCATCTAATTTTCAATCTTCCTGCCAGTTGACTTTTCGTTATGAAAAACTACTGGGGGAACCTCCCGAAACCCTCAACCCCTAAACCCTGCATAACACTCTACAAACGCGCTAATCTTTATCATGTGGATGCCCCTGACCCTAAACCTTCGACCCCATACATCCCTATATGCCCCTACATAATCCCTAGATATCCTAAATGTCCGTATAAAACCATGTTTTCTACATATACATATGTATGTACACATACATATGTATCTCTCTCTCTGTCTCTCTCGCGCGCTGTCCCTACATATCCCTACATACCAATCCCGAAATCCGAAACCCTAAACCCTAAATGGTAGTAGTTTCCATTTTATTTTCCATTATCCCAAATAACCACAATATAACCCCAATATAACCCTAAACCCTAAACCCTAAACCCTAAACCCAACCACTTGATCATCCCAAATGGTCCCACAAGGCGAAACTGTAGTCGTCAGATCCAGTTGCAAACATGCGCCCATCCTGTATATTGGGATTATATTGGGATTATACTGGGCTCATATTGGGATTATATTGATTAAGGAACTTAAGCTAACTTGCCTCAATGTTAGGGTTTGGGGTTTAGGCTTGAGGCTTTAGGGTTTCGGGTTTAGGGTTTAAGGCTTGGGGGTTTAGGGATCAGGGTTAGGTTTTGGGGGTTTAGGCTAGGGTAATTGGGATCGTGTAAGGGCTATAAATATGCATAGAGAAGTATCCCAAGTCTGTAGGAGATTGCACTGTGTTTGGGCGCTTTGAACAATGCCAGGGGTTGGACATGTCCTAGTAAACCAACATTCGGTGAGGTCGTAATCATTTGCGCCATTACCTTGCATTTAAAGGAAACTGAGGGAGACTACACAGAAAAATGAATGTCCAGGCTATGGTAACCGAGTCGAAAATCATTCGCCATTTAGTTTTGGCTGGCCCACCATATCTCGAAATCTTAGGGGTTAGTCATTCAGCTGTTCGGCTAAGTGGGGGTTTCCATAAACATGCCCCAAAAACAGACCTCAGTATGCCTTAGTCCTGATTGTAGGGACTCCCTTTTCAAAAGTTTCACGAAACAACTTAGCCCACATTACCCTAGGAAGAAAAAAGGGATCTTTTTTTCCTGAATATAGGGAATCCCATACCCCCAATAAGTAAAAAGGATCCCTAATACTGATCCAGACAATGCTAGCATCTGGAGACACAGACGCAGAGTTCACATCCCGGCGGTGACCACGAAGAACTAGGACCTGCAGATTTCATTACCTGGGATTATATTGGGGTTATAGGGGTTATATAGGGGTTATAGGGTTTAGGGTTTAGGGTTATATTACCCCAAAAATGGAGAATCAAATGGAAAAGAAAATGGAAAATGAAATGGAAACTGGGATTATATAGGGGTTCGAGAGTTACAGTTAGGAGTCTTAAATGTACCTCCCCAAATGTACCCACCCGTCCTCAAACTTAGAACCCTGTTAGGCCTTATTAAACTCCATATAGTCCTTATTAGCTTCTTAAACCCTAGGGGGTACTTTTGGGGGGCTTGCATTGTAACTCCTAATGCAAATTCCACCTACTGTAGGGGCCTAAATGATTACTATAACACTTCGATCTAAATCTAAGGTACCCTAAAACATCCTAATACTAGTCTTTTACAAGGAATAAGGGACCATAATATTGGAAATGGTTTAGGCTTCTACATTAGGCCATGAGGCAGGTGAAAGCCTTCCCTTAACGGGAAGGTTGAAGAATCTATAGGGCTAGGAGTCAGGAGAGAAGGAAAATCGAATGGAAAACAAAACGGAACTTGGGATGACAGGGTTTAGGGGTGTTGGGTCAAACAGGTATATCACTTGGGTACTGCCCCCACCCAGTAACAGTCTATATTAGGGGTCCTATTAAGGGCCATATATAACCATATTTTAATTATTATCCAGCTGTTACTGAGGGGGGGGCAGTACGCAATATATCACCAAACTCTAGTGTAAGGATATTTCGAACACTAGCATTGACTCTACTAGTTATTGTATGGGGCTACAGGATAATGCCTGGTTATAAGTTGTTTTTGCTGCCCAGGGTTTTCTCGGGAGCCTGTGCACATGAGATTATCAACGAATTATGATGTAGAGTTTGATGCTCTACAAGGACTTGGTGCGCTGTCATAAAGGCGTTTAGTACTGGGATCAGGATTGAGGATGCAGGAACTCTGGATTTTCACTTGCAATCTATAGGGCTGAGTGCTGCTCTCTATTTTGCCGGCTGTAGGGGATATAGGGTTATATGCGAGGAAGATATGGGATATTGCGCAAATAGCCTTTCCTTGCCCCATGTTTGCAAAGAGCGCAGGTATCACAAAAACAAAGAAACAACAAACAACCGGAAGTACTCTGTGGAAAATAAGGAGTATATGGGGATATATAGGGTATGAAATTTTATATTGGGATTATATAGTTATCCTAGGATTGTATTGGAAACAGTTAGGTTTAGGACAATCGTTAGCAGAACAAACCTCCAGCGAAACTGTTATCAACCCAGAACCGGACCTCACAAGCTTCCTCTAGACTAAGCCCCATACACCCCAAAACCCTACACCGCAAACCCTAAACCCTAAACCCTAAGGCCTAAACCCTAGACCCTCAACCCTAAACCCTAGACCCTAAACGCTGAAGCCCCAAGTAGTGCATGAGACATCTAACTGCCTCCAATACAATCCTAAGATAAGTATAAACTCCCAATTCAAAACTACATAACCTATATATCCCTGTATACTCCTCATTTTCCACAGGGTACTCGCTAGAAAGGCCCCGGTTTCTCCAAACTCCCGAATCTGAGCCTCAAGGTTCAGGGTTATAGGGGTATAATGCAGAATCAAATGAAAAAGAAGATGGAACATGAAATGGAAAGTACTATTTAGGGTTTAGGGTTCAGGGCTTAGAGATTAGGGTCTAGGGTTTAGGGTTTAGGGTTAAGGAAAAGAAAGAAAACGAGACCAGCATGTCCCCAGCCCCTAGAGCCCTTCTAATTGAACCTGAAACCCTACACCTCTGTGTCCCTCAACTCAAACCCTGAACCCAACACTGTACGCTTCCCAAATGAAAACTGCTGCAATCTGTGTTTAGATTTTCCTTCTACACCTTACAAAGCCCTTGCACGCCTCACTGACATACAAAAGAAGCCTGAGTAATCAATGACCCCATACCCTAAAAATGGGCTACACAAGCCAAACCATCCCAGCATCTGCGTTACAGGAATGAGCCCTTGACTTTATGGGGTTAGTAAGGAATAAGGGAATATATTATACAGGGATTATATAGTGAATACATTCCATTATTCCTTACCAACCACCAGTAACTGAAGCCGAAAGTATCCCCCCTGCCTCCTTCTCTGAAGCAAGGTCCCACAAGCGCGCAGAGGCGTCGCCCGAGGCAGACAGAAGTGATGAGCCCAAAGGGCAGAAGTCAACGGAGTAGATTTGCCCTGTGTGGCCTTGCCTCAGGCTTGGATTGGGGGGGGTATGGGTTTAGGGTTTAGGGTTTAGGGCTTGGGGTTTGGGGTTTGGGGTTTGGGGTTTGGGGGGGAGGGGGTTAGGGAAGTTAACATTGAGATCATATAGGGTGATGTAGGCGTAAAAGAGAAGAAAATGGAAACTACTATTTAAGGTTTACGTCTTAGGGCTCGGGACTTCGGATATTACCCCATCCTATTGTAATAATGCAGAAGAACATGGAAGCCATTTAGGGTTTAAGCCCTAAGGCTTAGCTTATTGGGAAAGCCACACCTCGATAGGAGGGACTGGCCGGAACTGGGAAAAAAGCCGAGGTTTTGCATGTTTGCCCTGCGCTCCGCGTAGGGAATACTTGGATGGAGAGCATCTGGCTGCCGATGGGTTCGGGCTCAGTGTATGACGTAGAGGGAATTTAAGGGGAACTTAAGCTTAGGCCTCAAGATTTGGGGTATAGGGCTCATGCCTCCGAAGCCCTTGGGAGAGAAGCACGCTGCATGTGGAAAATCCCCCGCGGCCGCACCAAAAAATGTTTAGGAATCATCCAACCTTAGCGCGCTAACATCCTGCGAGATTTGCGAGGGAAGCTGCCATATGGGGTGTCTCACCGATGACCCCTCAACACTGAGAACTTGGGAATATATTAGGATAATGGAAAAGACAATGGAAACTACCATAATACAATGGGGTATATACATAGAGGGGGTTATATATATATATATGCACCATTATACTATACCCTGCCCTAATCCCTGTAGTTGCTTGCAAAGGGGGGAGGCATGGCGACTATTGCTTGAATCAGCATCGGGGCTCTGAGATAAACCCAGCAAGTTTCCAGCAACAGAAGAGCTGCTGCTACCCCGAACGGGCCTACACAGCCTGACCCAAAATGAAAGAACTGCAAACCATGAATCCGAAACTGCACTCTTACCTAATCCACTCCCCCAACAATAAACCCCGGCCCCCCCCCCAAGATTGTAACAGAATAGTTTCCATCCCCATATGTATCCCAAAAAGTAATCATTCCCCCCTGTCACCCTAAACCCTTAACAACACATATACACAAAAATAAGATTGTTGCCCCCTTGTACCCCAAACCCAAAAGCACCAA